AGGAAAATCATAAATTCGAGACCAGCCTCAACAACTCACCAAGACCCTGTCTTGAAATAAAAAATAAAAATTGTTGGAATGTAGCTCAGTGGTAAAGTGGCCATGGGTTCAATCCCTAACACATCAACCTCAAAACAATAACAATTTTGACTCAAATTCCTTTAAAATATAAACATCCACATGTGATTCAGTGTTTGAATGTCAATCATTCACTTACAATTAGTAAGCAAACTTTTGAGTTGTTGCCGGAAAATTCTTAAAAGTGTTATGAAGCACAGCCCAGATAACATCACTTAGAATGTTAGCCAAAGCATCTCAAAGTATACCTTTAGTTATAGACAGTAATACTAATTTTCTAAAATCTAATTTAAATGCAGCTTTTAAAGAAATTTTAAAATGCAGTAGTTCCATTTATTGAGTCAACTAAGAAATATCCTTTGAAAATGAGAGCTTCTTCCTGGACTTCTAAAAAAATTGTAGAATTTGTATTCCTTCTGTATTAACACAGATTATTGTGACTTTTGCTTAACACATATAAATGAACTAAGCAACTCAATCATTTACCAAATTACAAAATAATTATATCTGAAATTGTTTGGTTAGGTAGTTCTGTGTGCTCTCATTTGAAGGCTGTGGGTGTGAGGGAGGAACCACAAAGTTTTCTTTTGTCGAATAAATCTGTTGAAAATGTATGAAAAGGTACACTTATACATTGTTGGTGGGAAGGTAAATTAACAACCACTCTGGAAAGCAGTATGGAGGTTCCTTAAAAGACTAGAAATGGAACCACCATATGACCCAGCTATCCCACTTGATGTAATTTATCAAAAACAAAAAAACAAAAACAACCCCCCCCCATAAAATTGGCAGACTATAGTGATAGATACATCTATGTTTATAGTAGCACAATTCAGAGTAGCCACCTTATGGAACCAGCCCAGATACCCATCCATCAACAGATGAATGGATAAAGATCTTCTATATACACAATGGAGTTTTACTCGACCATAAAGAAGAATGAAATTATGTCAATTGCCGGTAAATGAATGGAACTGGAGATTATCATGCTAAGTGAAATACACCTGGCTCAGAAAATCAAAGTTGGAATGCTTCCTCTTAGATGCAGAAACTAGAAAAAACAAAGAGGGGGAAGTGTGTCTGGGTGGGCGGGGGTGGGGTAGGGTGGCGAGAATCCCATGAAAATAGAAGGGAGATCAGTGGAACAGAGGAAGAGCATTGAGGAGGAAGACAGGAGGGACAGGAAAAGAGCAGAAATTGGCTGAATTATGCTATCTGCATATATATGAATATACCACAATGAATTTCAACTTTATGTTTATAAAGAATAATTTTAAAATATTATAAATACATAGGAGGAAGACCAGTAAGCAGAGGAAGAGGAGTAGCTAGGAGGAGGAGGGGAAGGAAAGAGGAAATACTGGAGGGAAAAGAACCAAAAAAACACCTGTTGAGTTCCATTATTAAGATTTCCGACACAAGGGCATCTAGGAATGGCCGTGTAATGAGTGCTAAATAAAGATTTATTCTGCAGATTTCTCTTTGTGATGTTGATAATGATGTCTTCTAGCCT